GGGAAGAGAAGGGAGCAGAGCGGGAAGGAAAGCAACGGGAAAAGGCGTCGAGAGGCGACTCTGCTACTGAGCGTCTGTTTGGGGTGAAGAAACACTTCAGAAACGGGTAGTAGTGATGGCTGCAAGGCACGGGGCATGATTAATGTCACTGAACAGTCCATGCAAGAACGGCTGACACAACAAATGTTTCATCATATGTATTTCACCACAACTTAAAACAAACAAACAGAAACAACCCTCTTTGCCATAAGACCAGAACACTTGAGGGTGCCCGGCTACCACTACCGAACACTCTCATCAGACAGAACACTCATCAAAAGGGGGGAAATGCAGAACAGAATTTTAAATTCTTATAGACTCCAAAGTTTCTGGAGCCCCAGAGATTGAACAACAAAGCCCTAAAACTTTGATATGCTATAAGATAACCTGTAAATCTTAAACCAAAAGCATCCCCTGAAATCTTCTTAAAACCAAACAGTTTAGTTTAACAAGTAAAAAAGTCTGCCTGGAGTATGACGCTCTTTTAAGAACTATCCATAAGGGATCAAAGTGACAACAGTAACTGGAAAGGTTAGATAGGAACTTAGGGGGCTGTGGATTTGTGCTAATGAGAGAGAAACAACTCGGGAAACGGGAGACATGGTCGCACAACTCAGAGAACGGAATCCATGTCAGTGAAACAACTCGGGAAATGGGAGACATGGTCGCACAACTCAGAGAACGGAATCCGTGTCAGTGAAACACACACGTGGAACCCGCTGAGCTGGAGTGGCCTTTGCTGTGTAGATGCTCAGCAACAACTAAATAAATAAAAGTTAAGAAAAAAGAGAGGAGTGGTGTACTTAGCAAAATAAGAAGTGTAGCGAGGAGGCCAGGACACAGTGGGCCGGGTGGGCGTGTCGATAAGCGAGCAGCGTTCAACAGACACTCTGAGTGCCTGCCACCTGCCCAGTTCTGCCCCCAGCGCTGGGACTCGGGCCCGAACACGGACCCGCCCTCGTGGTCTAGGCTGCAAAGAACAGGGCAGCATAGGGGACGGGAGTGGGCCTCAATGTTCAGCACTGGCAGGGCAGGCTCATGACAAGAGGACCCTGGGCAGACACCTGAAGGGGGAGCAGAGGGTGGCCCGGGCAGAGGAAGCCCACAGGGAAAGCCGGGGGGAAGCCCGCGAGAGTAGAGCGCACAAAGGTGTACCAGACGCTGGTCCTGGGGGCTCCTGCCGTACCAGGCGACGTGCCCATGTGCCCGGGACCCTCCTCTCACAATTCCCTGCCGATGAGAAGTCACACCCGTGTACTCCCCAGGTGAGGAGACTGAAGCTTGCGGAAAGGTGCGTGGCCCACCCAAGGTCACTCCACCCAGGCGGTGGCCTTCATGACTCAGCTGAGCCCTTGGGCCAGGAGCAGCAGGGACCCCAGGAAGAAGCCACACGAGGTGAGAAGGAACAGGAAGAGGAAAGAAGGTAGCAAGAGGTGGCCGTGCAGGTGCCAGGCCGGGGGCAACAGCACGGCCCTCCGCCAACCTGCGGCAGACAGCTCAGGTCGTACTTCTGAGCCTCCTCCGAGCCCTGGTGACATGAACTTAAGCACTGTGCGGTCACTGAGAGTCAGACACAACCAGTGGCATGACCACGCTCTCTCTAAGACCAGTCCTGCAACCACCTACTATGTGTTATGGCAGCATAATTAATCATCGAGGAACCCTGGTGGCACAACGGTTAAGCGCTCAGCTACTAACGAAAGGCTGGCTGTTCAAACCCACCCAGCAGCTCTGTGGGCATACAGACCTGTGGCCTGCTCCTGAATAAAATTAGACAACCCTATAGGCAGTCCTACCCTGTCACAGGGGGTCGCCACGGGTTGGAATTGACTCTACGGCACCAACAAGAACCCGGGATGGCCGGCAGGCTGAGAGCAGGAGCCACTGGGGCCACCACCATGTTCCACCCTGTGAGGCACCACGAGGAACAGACAGGCTATCAGCTGCTGGCGGTGGGCACAGAGCAGCCTTTTGGAAAACACCGTGGCCACTGGACTTAGGGGCCATCAACGTGCTTCAACTGTGGCCACTACAGGTAAGGATCATCAACATGTTTAAACTTCTCCCCCAGTGATGGCTCTGGCAGGAATGTGTCCCAAGAAATAGCCCAAGGAGGGAAAAGGTCTCCGTGGTAATATCTGCTGCAGTCACGTTTGTAATAGCAAACAAACACAAAACCTCTCCAAGGTCAGGGATAACCCAACCACAGCATACATTCAGGGGAACAGCTGTATTCACTAAAGTGGTAAGTAAGAAAATGATGGTCAGAACACGGAAAGCGGCCAACATGCCATTTTAAGTCAAAAAGCAGAATAAAACCAAACTATAACCCTGGTTTGCACCAGAAATGCAGGGATAAGAAAGTGCTAGGTGGGGCCAGACTGAAAGGGGGCCTGGTCAGAGGAAGCGGCCTTGTTGGGTTGATGCGTCTGTAAGCAACTTTTCTGAACCTTTAACCCAAACCTCCATTTCTGTTGCTACGAAGGTAACTGTACAAATACTCCTCAGAACCATGTCTCAAAAGGACACAGACTGGTCGGCCACCAGGCGTGAGCCTGGAGCTAGTTCAGGGTGACCCCTCAGAGCCTGGGCTCTAGGGCCAGTGGGTAAGGTCAGCCTCAGGTCTGCTCCGCCACGCTCCGCCACGCTCCGCCACGCAGGGCAAGTCTCGTGCCCTGAGCTCAACGTCTGGCAAACGGGGGCATCACTGCACCTGCACGTCGGGTACTACGGGGCCGCTTCCTGCTGCTGCTGGGTGTCATGGAGTAAGGTTCAATCCACAGCAACCCCGTGCGACGGAGCAGAACTGCCTCACAGGGTTTTCTTGGTGCAATGTTGACGGGAACACAGCACCAGGTCCTTCTCTCATGAACTCCCTGTTGTTGTTGTTGTT